AGAATACATGTATGGAGAACTTTAAAGGACCACTATAGTGCCAGGAAAACATACTTGTATATATACTTGTTTTCCTGGCACTATAGTGCCCTGAGGGTGCCCCCACCCTCAGGGACCCCCTCCCACTGGGCTCTAGGGGGAGGAAGGGGTTAAACTTACCTCTTTCTCTAGCACCGGACGGGGAGCTCTCCTCCTCCTCTCCGCCTCCTCTCCTCCTCTTCGGCTGAATGCGCATGCGTGGCAAGAGTCGCACGCGCATTCAGCCTGTCCATAGGAAAGCATTCACAATGCTTTCCTATGGATGCTGGCGTCTTCTCACTGTGATTTTCACAGTGAGAAGCGCAGAAGACCTCTAGCGGCTGTCAATGAGACAGCCACTAGAGGCTGGATTAACCCATAGGTAAACATAGCAGTTTCTCTAAAACTGTTATGTTTACAGAAAAAAGGGTTAATCCTAGCTGGACCTGGCACCCAGACCACTTCATTAAACTGAAGTGGTCTGGGTGCCTATAGTGGTCCTTTAAGGGTTACTGCCAAAGAACACACCAATATGTGTTCAGCAACATCTCCTGAGTACAGTGATACCACCCATGTACAGGATTGTTGGGTTCTCTTGGGGCTAAAATACCTTATTTGGAGGGTGCGCATTCCAGTTTTCCAACTTGGAATTTTCACAGCTGGTCATCATGCACCCATGTCCTATTTGGGACATTTATGAAGCCGGCCAATGTAATTTACCCCCGTCAAACCATATATTTTTGAAAAGTAGACACCCTAGGGTATTTCAAATGGTGGTATTTTAACACTTTCCATGCACTAATTCTACCATCAGCCTTTGTCCAAATTTTGAGTAGTCATTTTTCTGTGTTATTGTTCACACACATTGCACTTTAGGCATGGATTCTCAGCTCCTGTTATGTATTACTACCAAAGAACACCCCAATATGTATTCAGCAACATCTGAGTACAGTGATACCACCTATGCATAGGTTTGTTGGGTTGTTTGAGGGGTGCTGAACTTCTGACATATGTTTTTCAAATTTGACACATCTTCTTTGCCTATCTTCTCTTTGGGGGCCTTTTTACATATCCAAATTTTTCTTTTTTTTATATGAACGTGCATATATTTCAAAAGTTGACACCCCAAGGTATTGTATATGGAGTGTTTTATATATATATATATATAATTTTTTTATTGAATTCTTTGTTAAAATAAGCATAGCGGTTATAGAAAAGCAAGGTACATGTTAGTAAGTATCACATGTGCTAAACATCGTACACATTTAGTATCAGCAAGTACAATATTTTACATGGAAAAGGTACAACAATGATTGCAGGTTATAGCAGGGTACAATTTTTAGTACACGTTGCGTATTAAGCTTATGTGTTATTACTTTACAGTATGTGGTCATTGTGCGTGTAGTAGGTATATCAGGTAAAGCTGCGTTTTAGGAGTAGCTCCATTTAATATTAAAATTTTAGGATTTGTGCCATAAGAGGCCTGCGCACCCCTGCTTTAGTCCTTCTCCTAAGGAGGCGTAATTTGTACCTCAACTCTGGTTAACTGCTAAGATAGAAAGGTTACATAGAAACAAAAGGGGTATGTAAGGGTGGGTGGGGTTTCACTCCAGTGACTCACTTGAAACTGTGAACTTACTTAGGAGGACTAAAATGGCTGCCTTGGGCAAGATTTCCCTGTGCTCCTTCCGTCCAACCCCATCCCTGAGTGGGTAAATTAAACATAGCGGTTATAAAAAGGCAAAGGGCCTATTAGTAAGCATCTCATGTGCCAGACATTGAACACCCTGTTGCCAGCATGCTCAAATTTTAACATGGTACAACTATATCAAGGGTGCATGAAATGACGTAGTGCAAGTAAATCACTTGTATAGAAATACGTTATATTGTCTGATCCTTATTCATATAAAAGGTTCATCAGGTAAAGCTACATTATGGGTTTAGCATCAATTAATACGTCAGCTGCAAAGGTTGTACCGTGAGAAGCTATGCTGTCATCAGTACCCTTGGTTGTTTGACCGCTAAGACGGAAAGGGATTGGTAGGAAAAAGAAAAAGAGAGAAAAAGGAAGGGGGAAAGTTAGAGGGAGGGTTAGTTTCACTCCATAAACACACTTGAAATCCTGAGCTAATTTTACCTAATGCATACCTTTAGCTAACATGACTAAGGTGAATGCCCCAGGTCAGATCAGATTCCCCCGTCCCACTATCTATCCATCCTGAGCCCTGGGTTGGTCAGTAGCGAGTACAATGCGCCTAGTTGTTCATTCACCACCTTGGTTGGTAAACAGTGCCTAGGAAGCTAGTAAATTAAATTAATAAGTGCCTCTCATACATAGATTAAAAGTGATACGCCCGACTCTGAGTCTCCCAGCTTTCCCTGACTGTCTAGGAGGAATTGATCCCTTATCCCGTCCCAAGCTCCCCACCTTCGTTGATAATGGGGAGATTTACCCTGCGGGATTAAGGACATTTTTTCATATGAGCATATGGAATCCACTCTTTGGATCTTTCCATTATTGGTGGGGCTATGGTGCTTTTCCAATGATAAGCAACGCAAATTTTTGCCGCTACTAGGAGATTTAAGATAATTGTTCTGTTTGGCATGGTTACAAGGTTAGGGATCATGTGGAGCATGTAATATTTGGGCAATCTGGGGAGCCTGAGTCCGGATATAGTGTCTACTAATGCTATTATTGACTTCCAGAATTGCTTTAACTTTAAGCAATCCCATAATACATGGCTGAGAGAGCCTATGGTGGTTTGACATCTCCAGTAGGTAGGATTTGCATCCTTATAGATTTGAGAGAGTCTGCGGGGCACCAAATACCACCTCATCTGTAATTTTGCATGCGCTTCCCACATAGATATGCTTTTAGAGGCTACCTTAGTGCATCTGATAGCCTCCTGCCATTGTGAGAGTTGGAACGTCTTACCAAGTTCTTTCTCCCAGCTGTACATATAGGGTGGCTTTTCTTCCTCTGGTTCACCAAGAGCCGAATAACATAAGGACAGGGATTTTAAATTTGTTGCTTCCTTTGTAAGGAGATTAAACAACCTATGCGGGGCTGATTGTGCCTGGGGTTCCATTTGTCGGGAGAGGAGAATACTTTTAATTCGAATGTATGTAAATAGTTCACGATGGGCTAATGAAAATTCCTTTTGCATGCCGTAAGTAGGAACTTTGTGCTGGATAGCCCTACATGGGGGCTGAGATCAAGGTTGGTCCATAGCAGACTCGCTAAAGTAGCAGGTGAAATGCATGCATTCTCTAGTTCGAGCCACACAGGATTTGTACGTTTTGCTAACAGGTCAACACCCTGTGACAATACCGAAGATCTGTAATAGTTGTGGACATAGGGGATTCCCAAGCCTCCTGCATTAAGCAGAAGCCATGACATATGTTGCGCCACCCTTGGGGTTTTTCTTTTCCAGACATGAGATTTTATAATCTTTTGCATAAGTCTAGTGATATACCTAGGTAGGGGTAATGGGATTGTCCGTATATGGAGTGTTTTGATGCCTTTGTTGCAACCAAAGTTTTAGCCAAATAAATTTGGAGAACCTGTATGGTGTGTGGGTTAGGTGAACCTATTGTTGGTTATTGCAAGAAAACACTCCAGGTTGTTTTTTGTAAGGCCTCCTGAGTATAGGTTTGATAGGATTTTGGGAAGGTTCAGTTACAATTGAATGACTTGTAATTTGAGTATTTCTTCTGATGGGCCTATCTTTAGTTTGGGGCTTATCACATACCCCAGTTTTATTTATTGCCATGAAAGTGTATATATTTGAAAGGTAGACACCCCGAGGTATTGTATATGGAGTGTTTTGATGCCTTTGATGCAACTGCTTTAGCCCAAATAAATTGGAGGAATTGTGTGGTGGTAATTTTTCTATTTTCATTTTTATACACACATTGCTTTTTGACTGTGATTTAGGATAGCCTGTTGTTGGTTATTAAAAGAAAAAAATCCAGGTTGTTTTCTGCAAGGCCTACTGAGTACACCTATGCCCCCCATGCATAGGTTGAACTTGATCATAAAAATTTTCTGGCACAGTAAAAGTAAAAAACAACAAAAAACTCAGGAACAGTAAACATAACCTAAAAAAACAAAAAAAAACAACAGCAAATGAAAACATTTTTTTTAAAAATGGACCAGTGTGTGGTATCGCTTGAAGCAGTCCCCAATGCAGAGTCCAGGCTGTCCAGGGCAATAAAGACAGTAAAAGACGGTGTCCTTTCTCTGATCCCTCTTGAAACAGACTCTACATCTTCTTTGAGGATTCTGCTTTGCCGCAGTAGGAGGGATTTTAAAAATAAAGTGGGTAGCCCCAACTCTGCTCTCTCCCATCACCGCCCGGGGAACAGGTGCATCTTGGTACAAAATCCCAGAAATTATCTGGAGCTGAAACTGTAAAAAAGTCAGTTTCATTCCGGGGTTTGCTTTTTTTTTTTATTTTTATAATTCTTTATTTATAGAGTGCAAGAAATAACATAGTGTTCAGTAAGCCACAACAGCCTCTTTTCACAGATTGATAACAAGTCATATAAAACAGAGTTATGGCATTCGTATATATTGCACATTTTTTAGATTTTATGGTATGCTTAAATTACAGGCTAACTAGTAGATCTCTGGAGCTACTGTTAAGGGAAAGTGGCTGAGCTTTGCATATACATAGGCTTGTTGCTAATCATTTTAAAGTAATACAGTAAGTAAAGCATGAGGAAATGCATAGAGCTAACAGCTAATAAAGACATGCTGAGTTGTTATGCTAAACTATACTGTTATTGTGCCACTGGGTCCCGGTAGCAGGCTTCTTAGTTGGAAGTAGCTCCGTTTTGCACAAAGAACATAATAATAAAACATAAGCAAAGACATAAGGAAAAGGACACAAGAACAAAAAAAAAATACCCCTGGTTGAGAATAAGCTCAGGCGCATATATGGCCTGAGTCCTTGTGGCCGACAGGTAGCAATGTGCTGTCAGTTCAGCCCATGCCCGATAAGTAATGTCCCAACAGCCAAGAAGAGTGTGAGCTCCCTTTCGCTGTCTAATATATCTGCCGTCGGTGTCGGTGTCTCGTATATGCGTGTGCTGTTTAGCTGTGGTGTACCTGGTCCAGGCTGTAATCTGGAGCCGTCGTTGGCTGGGTTTGAGACGGGTGGCTTTGTCTTTCCGCCCTTTAGATCTGTCCGGACGGTGTTGGCAGTGCGGTGGGTGGTTGATGTCCGCAGGCTTTCGTTCCGGTTGTGGCACTTTGTTTGTTGTGGGCCGCGATGACCCTGTCGGGTGGAGGGGGGTCCGCACGAGCCTCCCATGGGAGTCTTTGCTTGATTATAGTGTGTTATCTTGGGGCGGTCCGTGCCCCTCCGTCGCTTCCACCACCGGGCCACAGTGCCCTGCGCCCGCTCTTTCAGTGGCAGCGCTTTGCATGGATGCTTCGCTTGCTTGCGAGGGGGTGTGTGGCGGCGTGCTGCCGTTGTGGCTGGTGTCTGTACTGGGTGCGAGGTTCTCTCCCGCATTCGTTCCCAGAATCTCTGGCAAACAGCATTGAAGTTCACATTTAAGGCTGCTGCCCATTCTTCATTAGTCTGCTGCATCAGTTTAGCGGCTGCACCGTCAGCCATCTTAGCTGGGCCTTGTCGGGTCGCCTGAACGGCGTTGTGTCGTGACGTGTCCCATAGGTGGGTGCTCTTCGGGCGCTGGTGGACCGGGATGACCCCCACCGGTCCCAGAGTTGGGTGCCCTTCGGGCGCTTGTGGACCGGGATGACCCCCACCGGGGGAGGGGGGAGGGAACAGGTGTTCTTCTTCGCAAGGGGCTTCTTTCATGGCGGGGGGAGAGCGGCAGTCTCTCCTGCTCCCACCTGTCGGTAGGCCTCAGTTGCTTGTTCTGCAAATATTGCTTGGTTCGTCGCTTGGTGGGTATCTTTGTGCTCAAATATTTGTCTCCTTTCGATTGCTGGCATTGTTGGGCCGATTTGTTGCCATTTGGGTCATGTAAAGTGGCTTTTCATGTGGGCTATAGCAGGAGCCCTTGAGGATGTCGACCACTCGGCTCTGCAGTCAGGCCCAGCCCCCCGGGGTGTGCTTTTTTACACAACAAAAAGGCGTTGTGGGTTGCAATCTGCATTTAGTAAATTGCAACCTTTTTGTACCAGACCCTTGTCTTCTGTATAATTAGGTTGGGCTGCAGTAACTGATCTGCTAGATCAACCCCACCCATATGTGGGTTAGAGGCCTTGATGCACACTGGCTTCCTTGTCCTCTCAGCTCTGCCACATACAGAGACCTCCACAGTCCTCTCAGTGTGGATGGTGGTAAAAAGGTACACATCCTTCTTGTCTCTGTACTTAACTGCCAACAGCTATTCTTGGCGCAGAGCTGAGGTCTCCCCCCTTCGTAGCCAGGTGCGTGCAAGTTGTCCTGGGAAACCTGCGCTGTTCTTTTTGATTGTACCGCAAGCTACTGAATCAAAACAATACAGTAGCTTGAACAAAGGGACAATTGTATAAAAATTTTCTGTATACAAGTGGTACCCTTTGTTCACCAGGGGGAATATCAGGTGCCAGACAATCTTGCCACTGGTTCCAATATGTTCTGGGCAACCGGGAGGGTCAAGGTGGCTATCCTTTCCCTCGTACATCCTGAAGGCCTGAGTGGGCAGTAGGGACCAGGTTGACTACCACTGATCTATACATTTAAACTGCTTCACCAAGATAAAGTTGTTTTTGTGACTATAGTGTCCCTTTAATGCCATATCTAACAGAATGTGAAATTTGGATATTTTTCAATGATGCCATATACAAAATGGCATTATACTACAACTCATTAGCGCACTGTTGTACTTCAAGTGCCATAATATAAAATATTGCAGATCATACTGAATTCAAAGACTATTAAACATTTGTTTCAGCTTGTAATAATCTTTTTTTCTACAAGGCATTTCAACAAGAAAGTTCAGGATTATTAATTATTAGTAGGCTAGTTGCTGTTTTCTGTCGTGTTTTGTTTTCTAGAAATCCATCTCTAAGTCATTGTTCTACTGCAATACTGTTACATTTATAATCAATCACTGTGCCGAACAGCTTTATTAAATTATGCTACACTTCAGCTGAATTTCATTAAATAAGGAAATAACTACAATTACAGTTTTTTTTTTTTTTTTTAAAAGAAGCCCCATAGACTTGGGAAAAATGGACCATGACATATGCTTGTTGGTCTTGCTTGTTACCAGACAGGAAAGGGAGTCACCAACTAATAATTATAACTATATTATTCCATGCCAGTAAGCAAATTGTACCTTTTTAAAGGAACACTATAGGGTCAGGAACACAAACATGTATTCCTGACCCTATAGTGTTAAACCAACCATTTAGGTGGCTTTCTCTCCCCTTACCCCCATTAGAAAAGTTGAACACTCACCTTATTTCCTTGGTGACATCATCAGAATTGCCGACTTTTAGCCAATCCAATGCTTTCCCATGGGAAAAGCATTGGACTGGCTAAACTTGACAAAGGGGCGGGGCCAACACCATTTTGACCAATCAGCACCTCCTCATAGAGATGCATTGAATCAATGCATCTCTATGAGGAAAATTCAGTGTCCCCATGCAGTGTGTGGAGACGCTGAACGGCAGTGCTGACTACTGTGCAGCACTGCCCCAGGTAGCACCTCCAGTGGCCATCTAAGGAGTGGCCACTTGGTGGTGTGCCTAGAGGCAATGTAAACACTGCATTTTCTCTGAATAGGCAGTGTTTGCATGAAAATGCCTGAAGGCAATGATTATTCTCACCAAAACAACTACATTAAGCTATAGTTGTTCTGGTGACTATAGTGGCCCTCTAAATGTTGTTTTGCACCTTTATCAAATGCCAGTTAAATGCCTTATTTCTCACCAATTATAATGTGATTGTAAGAAAACCTGTGACATGGGATAGCTTATTCATTTTGCTGTGTTTAAGAATATAAACACACACCTAACATATTCTAGCAATCCGAAGTAATGACAGAATCTGAAATGTTGAAAATCTGTTGTCCAAAACATTTAACCCCTTAACGCCGTTACGGCGTTCTATGCCATCCCGCATTAAATGGGCTTTAAAGCCGTTGCGGCGGCATAGAATGCCATAACGGCTGAAGCCCCCAGGAGCTAGGAGGTACTTACCTCCGCCGCGATCCTCTTCTGGAGCGCTGCCTGGGCCCCCGGGGGCCATGTGATCGCTCTCAAAGAGCGATCAAATGGCCCCCTATAGCTGGCTGTGGAAGATATATATAGTATATATATACTACATCTATATATATTTTATATTTATATATACATGTATAATTACAATAATAAATAAATAAAAGAATAAAATAAATAAATAAGATATATATATAATTTTTTTTTTTTTTATGATTCTTTATTTTGCAAAGGTATTGAGTAGACAATGTACAAGGTTCGGCCCGTGCAAGAGCCCATTAGTTTTCCAGGTGCTAACATTCACATATAAGTACATTCCAAGATATGTTCCAGATTCGTTATGTTTAGACTGCATTGCTACTTTTGTCCGTTGTCTTTTTTCAAACGAATAACAGATAAATACTATACAACAAAAATGGAAAAAACTGAGGGCTGGGGTACCGGTTGTCTCGGCCCAACTGTGGTGGTTGGGGGGGAGAGGGGAGGATGGGTGTGGAGGGGAGGGGGGGGTCGTACTTCGGTCTGTCGGTCATATTTGTATGTCCCGTCGGCTACCCTGCTTTTATCGGTCACTGTACGTTTCCCAGGGTTCCCATGTCCCGGAGAAGGCCTTGGAGGAGCCTCGGATTGTTTGGACTACTGCTCTCCTGGCCGCTAGAGCTATTTTATTAAGGAATTGTTGGTTTGGTTTGGGCCAGTCCTCTTGGGGTCTGGCTAGTAGGAATGACCATGGGTTCAGTGGTACAGGTCTGTCTATGATTTGGGTTGATAGTGTTTGAATGGCTTTCGAAAATGTTTGAATCTTGGGGCAGTGCCACCACATGTGGGCATACGTCCCTTTCTCTCCGCAGTTGCGCCAGCAGAGGTCTGTGGGTGTTTTTTTCATGTGGTACAATTGAACAGGGGTGGTATACCACCGAAACATCGTTTTGTACGATTGTTCCTGCATTGTGACGCAAATGGAGGTTTTGGCGTTTGCCTCCCATATGTCTTGCCAGTCTATGCCCTCCAAGGCCTCCCCAAGATCAGCTTCCCATTTGTCTGTGTAGTGGAGGGGGCCCCATTCCCGCATGGTGGAGCAGAGGTGGGAGTACAGGAGGGATATCATGCCCTTTTGGTAGCGTTCGGCTAGGCATATTTTTTCAAAGAATGTCAATTTAGCCTTGGCCGCTATTTTAAATATATATATATTTTTAAATAAATTATATATACATATGTAATTTCATTCTAACTGTATTTTGTTATTAATACATATATATATATATATATATATATATGTAACAAAATACACTTAGAATGACATTCTATATCTTTCTATCTATATATAAAATACAAATAACCGCAAATATATATAATGACATAAATAACTACATAAGTGTACACATAGACTTTAAATACATATATATGTATATATATTAAAATTCTACGTGTATATTTAAGTAATATTTTAACATAATTATGTGATTTAATTAGTTAAAATTTGATTGACATGCCTGACAACCCAGGCAAAAAGTGCAGAGAATTTGAATTACAAGCATTATATTTAACCCTGAAACTTTCCAAGACACCATAAAACCTGTACATGGGGGGTACTGTTTTACTCGGGAGACTTCGCTGAACACAAGTTTTAGTGTTTCAAAATGGTAACTTGTATTACAACAATGATATTTTTAGTTAAAGTGATGTTTTTTTGCATTTTTCACAAATGAACGGCACTTTTACTGACGATATTGTTGTTGTAATACAAGTTACCATTTTGAAACACTAAAATCAAATATAGTCAAATATAAGGCTCACATTTAATTTTTTTCACATTGAAATTTGCCAGATTGGTTATGTTGCCTTTTGAGACTGTATGGTAGCCCAGGAATAAGAATTACCCCCTTGATGACATACCATTTGCAAAAGTAGACAACCCAAGGTATTGCAAACGGGGTATGTCCAGTAATTTTTAGTAGCCACTTAGTTACAAACACTGGCCAAATATTATTTTTTTGCTTTTTTCACACAAAAACAAATATGAATGCTAACTTTGGCCAGTGTTTTTGACTAAGTGGCTACGACAAAAGACTAGACATACCCCACTATTGCAAGTGGGGTATGTGATAAGGATTAATGAGCACCTTTCCCCTTATATCCTGTGTCACACTACACAGTAGATTTAGTAATGTCAGGATGCTCTATTATAACAGCTGGCCTTTGATCCTGATTTGTATCTTCTTCTTATTTCCCCCCCCTGCACTGCATATCCTGATAACACCTTGTTGGGAAGTGTTTGTTTAATCAAGTAACACCTTTTGACCAGCTAATGCCAAATGTGCTTTAAGTTCTTTTAATATGCAATTGACAGGACATGACTGTATTATGTGAAGACAACCCCTTTTGGATGTGTATAGAATTTTGTTATAAGATCTGTGTCTTCCCCATTAAAATTAGGTGTAGTATTCTGCCATACACTTGTGTGAATGAGTACTGCCCTCCGAGCTCGTATTTCTGCTGTGTCCATTCCTTGTCTTCATACCTGAGAAAAAGCATTGCTGTCTGCTGAATTTAAACCACAACAGTATGTCTAGTCTTTTGTAGTAGCCACTTAGTCAAAAACACTGGCCAAAGTTAGCGTTCATATTTGTTTTTGTGTGAAAAAAG